CGCGCCCAGAGCCCGGAGCCCAGAGTCCAGCTGGCTCCAGATTCGCTTCTGCGAGCTTCCAGACCCTGCAGCCCTGACAGGCCCGCCTCCCTCCTGGCTGGGGCATCTGTTGGGTCCCAGCCCCCTCCACCGGGACAACAGTCAGAGTCAGATAAAAATCGAGGCGAATAATCTTGCTTCCAAGCCTCTAGGTAGGAAGCTGCCTTTGAATAAATGACGTGGAGACCAAATCTCCAAGCGGCCAAGGAAATGCTAAATCTGTAGAGAAAACTACATCTGAAGAGAGAACAAAGGCACAGCTCCAGGGAGCTGGAAAGAAGCGACAAGCAGGTCACCTGATGGCATGTTTAGAATCCCAGCCAAACCTCGAGTAGGAATTACAAACAGGATCAGCGAGATGCTGGAGGAAAAGGCTATCTTTATTTGGGAGACTATCAGAGATTTCCCTGTGTACCGAGCCCTCACATTCGGAGTGATATTTTCTTTGTGGATTCTGCCACGCCCAACCATAAGTCAAACTAGAAAGATTAAAAGTAAATGACAATGCCGTGATTTAAAAAAAAAGAAAGACCAGTTGCCTGCAAGCAGCACCAGCCACAGTGTCTGACACTGAGTTGGCATTCGATAAATATCGAATGCTGGTGGAGGGGTGATGGGGACAACGGCGGTGAAAAGGAATAAACGGAGCTCTCGGGCGGAGCACCCTCGGGCTGTGCCTCATAATCAATGTTACGGGCTCTTCAGGCAAAATAAGAACTGCTCCTGCGGCGAAATAAATACAAAATCCGAGAGCCACTATGCAATTATAATAACGGAATCTTTGTCAACGTCAACATCCCTGGTTCACTCAAGCGCTATAACCAGCCAATGTCAGACCCTGCTTAAAATTCCATGAAAAGCAGGAATAAGGAAGATGGCTTACTCCATCACTTTTTAAAGCAAAAACAAACATGGGAGGACTAAGACTTTCCTATCTCAAAGTACCACTTAATCTGGTGGAGGGTTACCAAGTGCTGTGTATTTGCTAATTAAATGTCCTGGTGCTGAGTCCACAGTCAAGTCAACTTCACTCTAGCTGTCATTTTCCGGGCGGGGAGGGGGCACGGAGGGGCTGGAGGCGGGGCACAACCTATACCCAGGACACACTGCTGACTCCCTGTTCTTGTCGCATAGAAAACAAGTGACCTTTATGAGCCTCTGCCTGGCGCTGGGGAAGGGAGCAAGGTAGAAAATTGTAAATTGCTGCCTTTGGCATTCTGATTAAGGAATTAAGGAAACAAGAGAATCGGAGGGGCTGCACAAAGCTGAGAGACCCAAGCCACACAACCCTAAGAGCCGGACATGGACAAGCCAGGCGTGAGTCCTCCCATGCTGCAAGGTCCATCCTGCACTCGGCGGGCTCCAGGCCTGGGTCACAAAGGCACAGAGCAAGGAAGGAGGGAGGGGACCTCCTTTTCCACAGGAACAGACTCCTTCCCAGTGGGGCACCAGTCTGCTCTCAAAAGGGACATGAGGCAGACACAGCAAGGCTTTTCCACCAGCCCAGTAAGAGGGAACCTCTAAGAAGAAAGAGGTTTTCTAAGCCCTGCCTTGGGTCCATCCTTTTATCCCACAAGACTATTGCCCAGGTCCAGACTGACAGGATCCAGCAGCAGCTCAGTTTTGCTTCTAAGTTCTTCTATTTGCAGCACTGCTTTTGTTTTGAGAAATATTTATTAGTATACATCTGCTGTCCTTAACAATTACATTGTGGGGAGGGAGCTGTTCCCATGTTCTCAGGAAAGACTGAAAGAAGCGCCAAGTATTTTAACACTTCAGCGTTGGCTTGTGTGACGAAGCTCAGAGAAACCATGACCCTAAGGGTGCCTCTGCGTCAAGTGTCTTGCTTGTCACTGTCACGGAAGACAAGCACCACGTCCCAAGGAGGCGGGCTACGGACTCACGATCCAAGAGGAGAGGAGACAGGCTCGGAGCAAGGAGCCTTGTTAGATCTGCTGCATCCAGCCTAGTAGGTACTCTGCACTCACCACATGTGCAAAACTGGATAAACCTCTTAGTCCTGACTGAAGCACACGTTATTTAACTGTCACACACCTTAAGTAAGATGCCCTTCCAAGAGGACCGAGCTAAGCAGGGAATCCAAAAGCAACTACACATTTTTAGACATGACACAAATATACAGCATTATATTTAAAAGATAAGGCATTGTGGGTCATCAGCATTGCCATCAGTCTGAGGTCACAGAGACTACTCCCCAGGGGGTAGTGAGTGGGTGAAGGTAACCGTCCTGACCTAGAACCACAAAGGTTCCCTGTAACCAAGATCCAAATTCAAGGGCTGCCATGTGACTCTGTTATAATACTCAAGTGTCTAAGAAGAAAGCAAGGAAAATGAACAAGGAAAGAATCAATTACAGTCAAATAAGAATCCTGTCTTGCTGATACAAAGCCCAGCTTGGATGGCTCTTGTTATTGTATTAGTTTTGCCTCTAGCTGCCTGGAAGAAGACAGTAACATCCTAGTTCTTGAGGTGTCATCTCAATTATCATACACATTTTCTAAGACATAATAAAAAATATTCAGGCACAGCAGGAGGAAATAAAATACAGCAATTACTAAGAGCTACAAAAGATAACAGGCAGAAAAGAGGATCAGAAAACAACATTTTTATAGACTTTAAAATAATTATATTCCAGGGGCTGGGAAGATGGCTCAGTGGAATAAGCGCTTCCCTGGCAAGTGCAAGGGCCTGAGTTCAATGCCCAGTTCCACAAAAAAAAAAAAAAAAAAAAAAAAATTATGTTCCATATGTTGGCTGAAACAAAAGGTAAGAGACTCATAACAGACAACCGGAAACTGCAAAAAGGAAACATAGGAAGCAGTCGTCTGCAAATATTTGTCAGAAAGAAAGAAGGAAAGGCAGGATGGAGAGACCTTATCTAGTGATGCTAGTAAGCCCGACTCCTGCGCCTAGCAGGCAAGACCTCGGGCTGTGCGGCGCCCTCGGAGCCTGGGGTCTGCAGCTGCTCTGCCCAGCCTGAGCCCAAGCCCGC